AATCCCCATCTAGTAACCTCCACACATCTTTTAAAAGCTTTAGATATCTGCGAAAAATTTTGCCGTGAAATCGACGATTTTTGCATAACCAGGCTGGACTAGAAAAATACAAACAGATTGGCTTGTCTCCATTTGTAAAAAAAAACAATGCTTAAAATCGCTTCGACTGTATGTATTAAAACTGTCATGTTTTAAAAACTTTTTTCGGATAATTTACTCCAAAATACATGCTAGATTTGAAGAAGAAATTAGTGTTTCCGTAATTAACTTGGAATAATAGAGGCACTACTTAGCGTGTGTGCTGGTTTAGAGTTGTAGAGATGACAATAATCCTGTGTACATGTGCTTTATAGGCTTTGAGAAACCATTCGATAAAGTTAGACAAAAAACTGATGGAAATTCTTGAACGAGTAGGAATAGACAACAAAGATTTAAAAATTATATAAAATCACTATTATCATCAGCAAGCAAATTGCCAGAATTGGTGTAAATACTTCTGAATTAATTGAAATTCTCTCGTTTCTACAAAGGGATGCATTTTTTCAACACTGCTTTTTAATCTGTACTTTGAGCATATTCTCAAAGAGAATCTTGCCAGGGTTAATGCTGGTATTATGTAGGGATGTGTAGTTCACCATCGAAATAGTTCTAATGAACGATTCTTTCAACTGAACTAATTGAACTAGTTCATTAATTTTCATAGAACTAGTTCACTGCGAACGATTTGCATTATAAATTATGTCTCGACTTCTAAAGAAGAAAATAATGAATGAATGAATTAGAACATATATTTATTATTTTGTGAATGGATGGACTAACTAGTTTAAAAAAAAATGCCGATTAGCCTTAGATAACAGATTCATAATTCTTATGAATGTGACAATACCATAAGGTCTTATCTTAATGTGATAATGGTTTGGATCTTATGCCCATGTGGCTTGGATGTTGCCATGCTGTGTTGTTTCTTGTATTGTAATTTTGAAATAAAAATTTTAGTTGTGGTTAAAATGATTGAGGCATTTACATAAAATATAATTTTATGTAAAAGTGAGACTGAAAATGTGTTATTTAATGTTCCTAAAAAATTCACTGATTTTTTTGTAAAGGTTCTTTTAGAAATAACCTAATTATAAATACCTATTAGTTTAAATATACGTAAATATAAAAATAAATCATACTTAAACCATATTTATATTTAAAACGGTTAATAAAAAACAAATCTTAATGATTTTTTGCAAATAAAAACTAACTAATCATATAATAATTTAAACCATTTAAAACTAAAGATACGATCGAAAGAAATAGTTCCGAACTACTTGTACGGTAGTGAACTAGTGAAAGACTGACTGAAAGAAAGAAATAGTTCCGAACTACTTGTACGGTAGTGAACTAGTGAACGACTGACTGAAAACCGAAGTAAACGGGCGGCCAGCGCCGAGCTTGTGTGATGATGGAGACGAGACATCTGGCAAAGAGTTCTGTTAGGGTTGGATTTCGATGTCGGTCCTACAAATAGTTCTTTAGCGAAATAGTTTACTGAACTAGTTCATTTTTGTAAAATAGTTCTGTTGAACTAGTTCGTCTAAAAGAACTAATAAGCACACCTCTAGATAGGTCAACGGAATTACAATGAATGATTTGATACGCAGATGATACTGTATTGCTTGCGAGTTCTGCGAAAGAACTTTTACACGAAACAGTTATTAATTGACAGTGTTACTAGAAAATGCGAAGAATGCAATTTATAATTTTACTTAGACTACATAATTATAGCATATGATACTGAAATAGAAAAAACTGAGAACATTACTTATATCGATTCAAATATAAATGACAATTCGAATATAAACAAATATATAAAATCCGGATTAAAAAAGCCAGAACAGTGTTCTTCCAAATAAAAAAAGTATTATGTGGATAAAGATAACAGTAACCTGAAAATAAGACGCATCACATCTTCTCAACAATATTGTATGAAGTGAAGAGCTGGACACTCACTAAATTGTTACTAAATAAACTTTGGAAATGTGGGTGTATCGAGGGCTGCAACATTTAAGCTGGGTTGACACAATGACAAATGAACAGGTAATAGAACGATTAAAAGAACAACCCGACGTTTTAAAAACCGTCTTTTTTTAAAAAAGCCCGTCTGATATGAAAATTGGAGTATTTGTCCATGTCATATAACACCCAGAACGTTACTTTGTCCTCCATCGTATTATGCACAGCAAAATATGTGGGAAAATGGGTCCCGGTCGAAGCAAGATCCTTCTGGTCGTAATTCTGGAAATCTGTAGGATCGTTTTTTGTGTATTAAAATGGTAAGTGCACTGTGCTATCTTGTAGGTATTTCGGTCTGATGCAGACACACAGTTGAACAGTTCATTTATATACTATAAGAGTCCTTCTCCTCTAATCTTTACGGCTTCGATAACGATTAATTACTATTTAACTGGCAATAAGCCACAATTAAAGATAAAAATACGTTTATTGACGTTTCAATTTCCACTTCGGAAATCGTTCTCAAAATACAAACAAACACGATAACGATATTATCTTTTCCTGGAATATTATTTTTTTTTTCATTTTATTTAGAGCGGTTCTTATTTCGTCCGAATATCATCAACAGTTGGCGCTACAGCCCTTCGTGAGCCTTGGCCTGCTTTAAAACATTCTTCCATCCTTCCCTATCGAGTGTCTGTCTTCTCCAGCCCCTCACTCCAATCTCCCTCAGATTTTCCTGTACATCGTCCAGATATCTTAGTTTAGGTCGCCACCATCTTCTTCTTCTTCTCCCGACCGACCTGTTTAGCATAGTTATTTTAGTGGGATCACTCTTATCCATCCGCATAACGTGGCCCACCCACCTTAGGCGGTTTATTTTGATGGTTTTCATAATATCTGCATCACCAAAAAGTCTATAGAGTTCAAAGTTATATCGCCTTCTCCACAGACCCTGTTCGTTTACTCCGCCATATATGGTCCTCAATACTTTTCTTTCAAAGACTCGTAGTAACTCTTCATCTCGGGTCGTCATTGCCCATGTTTCCGATCTGTATGTGAGCACTGGGTGCATTATTGTTTTATAAAGTTTGCACTTTGTTGCTATTGACATACTTCTCGCTCTTAGTTGAGGGCCCAGGCCAAAATAACAGCGGTTAGCCACGCATATTCTTTTTTTTATCTCGTTGGATGTATTATTTTTGTAGTCTACCAGTGATCCTAAGTAGCAGAATTCTTCTACCATTTCAATCGTTTCGTGTTGCACCTATAGGTTTTTTTTTTTGTTTTTTGGCCTTAGGTACAAGACCTATTTAGCCAGACAATAAAGGTATAAGAATATAGAATACATAAAAACAATCTCCTACACTTCCTTCAAATTCGTAACAATTTCCTAACCGTGCGTAACTATTCAAAAAGGATTGAACAGGAACACACGCTTCACGCTAAGGTGCCCTTCATAACGACTTTTTTGTAACACAAACAATATAGGCAACGGTTAAAGGTAAAAGACATAAAAGGAAAGACAATGGGAAATACAACAACTAACGTCCTATCATTTCGGATTCACACAACAACACTGAACAGGGCACTTTAGATTTTCCGTTTGGTACGTTTGAAAAATTCCCATAAAATTGATGATCTTATAGTTGCACTTTTCGACTACCTAAATACAGAATAGAAGCAACGTTCTGCGGCAAAATGATTTTTTCTTTAGAGATGGCTTGAAATAAAAATTTTATGGCTTCTTGATTATACCGACATTGAAACATCCAGTGGTTAAGATCGTCATAACTGCCATTGCATTCACATATATCAGTTTCGGAAAGTTTTGTTTTATATAAGTAAGCACTTCTGTCACTTAGAGGAGTAGATGGAAGAGTTGGATATATACTGCAGTATGTATTTTTGCTACTGTTAGTAAAGGATTGCCACTCAATTTCCCAATTATGTCTAACATATTTCTTCCTAGCTGCACCTCTAAGTTATTTTGATGAATTCTTGATATGGCCGGCATATATTTAGTTTTCTGGATGTTAATCAGAAGTCCGATGTTTTCTGCGGCATTTTTGATACGTGTGAAAGCATCCACTGCTTCATTTTGGGTTCTTCCAATTGTGACGATATCATCAGCGTATGGCATTATTTGTGTACTACGGGTATATATCGTACCTTTTAAGTTTATTCCCGAATATCTCATAACTTTTTCTAACGCTAGGTTGAACAGCGTGCACGATAGCGCATCTCCCTGGCGCAGGGGGCGCATCTCGTTCGAATATATCAGGCATTAATTCCGATCATATTCGCGCTTAATTAGTTTTACGTATTTGCTGGGGTGTTATCGGGATCAACAGCTTTCCTGTTCTTTATCAACTTCATAGCGTGTAATACTTCTACCTTTAGTATTTCTGGTCCTTCTGGTTTGACGTCATTCAATAGTTTATTTATGTTTTTTTTGAACCTATTCTCTATCCTTTCATTGTTGGATATAGGTCTCCCCCAGTTCTCTCCATCTTTCCCTATCTTGAGCTGTTCTCTGCCATGTGGGACCTCCTTGTTTCCTGATGTCATCTTTCCACCTCATCTGTGGTCTGCCTCTTGATCTCTTTGCATTGTATGGACGCCATTTTCCGATGGCATTGTTCCATCGTCCGGCTTGGAGACGTTCATTCAAACATGAATGTTTATTTATGTACGTATACCAAATTGTCCGAATTCATTCTTCATTGTGAGCTGTTTTTTATGGCCAGCTATTTCTCTGTTTTTTTAACATATTGAATGCGTCGTATTTTTATTCTAACTCTTCTATTTCAATGCATTTGCTAATTTACCACTCCACTTTTTTATAAACAATCACGGCCGAATTCCTAAAAGTTTGAAACTAAATGATCCAGGAATTAGCAATTAAGATACGGATTTTTTAAATGGAAAATTTATTATGCAATTATATTACAAACACGTCATATAAACCAATAAATAAATCAGTGTTGGTGCATAAACAGGGAGTAGCCGTATTCAATTGCAGTGTAGATAACTAAGAAAAGTGAACTTCATAACATCAACATCATACTTCATTGGGTTTTGCCAGTGTCAACAATGATTGATAGCAGATATCTGTGGACTGTGTGTATAGTTTTAACACTATTTTATCAGACAAATTGTAAGTAATTTTGCAAAATATTAAGTTTTTGTTTACTTAAAATACATCTAGATGTAAGTAGCGTTCTTTTGATCCTCCTTCTTTTCGTACGGCTCTCCAAAATCTCGAGTATACTTATTTTTTTATATTTTTTTTGGAATGATTGCAGAAATGCAATAGGTATTTTATATACGTAAGTAGGTTTTCTACTGTTACAGTGTCAATAACTTGATTTTTTCCATTTTCTTTTTTTTTTCTCGTAACAACTTCATGTACTGCGAGAGGTATGGAATGGCTTTGAACACAAAGAAAAACAAAAATCATTATTATCAGTAAAAGCAAGATTAAAGACGAAACAATCTACGTTAAAGGAAAAGCTTTAGAAAAAGTACCCAGATATAACTACTTGGGATATGAGTTAAATGAATAATGGAACAGCAGTCTTGAAATAAAACGACGCATTGAGATAACCAGAAGTGCTTTCTGGAAATAGAAATTAGAACTAAACCGGGAATACAACGCACGTCCTGGTTGAAAATTTTAAAGCAGTGGAGTGAAAAAACAACAATAAAACTCTTCAGAACTGCTGCAGACAGAGTAAAATGGACCAATATCCTTAAAGAATAATGCACATGAAGAAAAAGAAGAAGAACAGTTCTATTTTAAGTGCTAAACTTCGGATATTTCAGATACTGGATAAATTAATAGGACATGAATACAAAGGAAGTGGACGAAGATGTATAAGATGGATCGACTATTCACAAAAGTGTTTAATCATCACCATTCCTTGGCCGTTTATCCCATGTTGATTTGGATTTCTGAATTCTATTTCTCCATATGCTGCTCTCTCCTTTTTCTTGGTGTGCCTATCCGTGACGAATGTTTGCAATTATCATGGAAATCTTTATCTTCTGTGCAGCAGCGCGGAAAAGCGATAAAGATGTTGTGTTAAATCAGGTCTGAGGTTTTTTAACCAGGATGTTTTTTTCTTCATGGGCCTCGTCTACCAAATATTTTTCCCTGGAAACCTCTCGATTGTTCTTTTTTTCTCTGAGAAGCTCTTTATTTGCAATTAAGTCAGTCCACGGAATCTTGAGTATCCTCCGATACAGTCACATCTCAAATATTTTCAATCTCTTCGACATATCTTCAAGGTCTACGATTCAACACCATAAAACAGAATAGAGAAAACTTAGAATCGCAGCATTTTTACTTTTAGACCAAGAGAGAGATTGTGGCTTTTGAAAAAAGTCCTCATCCAGTTGAAGGTGGGTCTAGCTTTTCCGATACGCCCTCTTATCTCCTGCTGGTTGGTTCATTCTTTATTTAATATGGTGCAAAGACAGTTGTAATGCTTTACTCTTTCTAATAGGGTTTGGTTGACATAAAGTTGACCTTCTGTTATTTTTTTCTTGCTAATGATTATGATCTTTGTTTTCTTTACATTTATATTGATTTCATATTCTTAACTGTGGTAGGCAATTTTTTTCGTAAGGATTGGTAAGGATTTCGTAATAGGTCTTCTAGGTTATCTGCAAAATACAATTGTATCAATTGACAACGCTCAAATTATCAAACACTTTCTCGTTATCAACCAGATATGCGCATTCGTCGCAATGGACTTCTCTGCATTTTTTTAATAAAATCTGTACTGATAACAGAGGCTCTCTTGTACCAACAGAATTAGAACTGATTTAAGAAAATTTGACTCTCATAAATCTTGTGAATTTTTATCATAAGGTATTCTTCATATTTCGGGGCTCCTGGCGTTTTTAGAGGTGCAACAAACTCAGACGTTAACAGTCTGTTGGTATTTGTTATATATGATGTTGAGTATCTTTTTGATTATTGCTACTGATTCATTGTTTATTAGTTTGAGTAGTTATGATATAGTAGTAGTAGCAGTACTGCTTATATATATATATATATATATATATATATATATATATATATATATATATATATATATATATATATATATATATATTATCGGTACGTGCTGTTTTACAATCCTTTAGCTGTACAGCTGTACATCTTGATACGACAGCAGCGATATTCTAAGCAGAACAGCTGCTCCGGGGCGGGCCAGCCTTGGAAGTAAGGAATGAAAACAATTATTTCGCGTTCTTACGGAGTAAACCGATTCATAGCTTGCCGATTTGTATTTTGTTTACTTCACAAATGTCAAAACTAAATTCACATTTGGCGCCATTTTAAGAAGTTACATTGTTTTCCAATGCTGTAATTTAACAATAAAAGTTTCTGTCTTGGGTAATCTTAATGTCTTCTTTTGTTTTTTTCCTATCCATCCAAGAACTTGAACACATCTACTAAACTCATCTCGATTCATCCACTTGCGATTGCTCAGTAACTCCCAATGTTCATTTTGACCTGTATTATACGCTTCTATTATACGTTTTTCTATCTATTTACAAGTTACTCTTTTAAACGTACCTTATGGTAAATGGTAGATCGGGACATGGCCCATTATTGAGCCCTTCAGACATTTAGACCTCCTAAGACGTTAAAGGTACCTTACACATACTCTATAGATGGGAAGCTGAGGTAAATATTTTATTATTCATAAATAATATTTGTATTCAGAGTACAAACTTGTAATGTACAAAAGAGAGGACTATTCACAGTGTGTTGGATCAATTTGAGTTCACTGTTTGAAGAAACAATCAACCAATACCCGTACGTTGACGAAATGTAAGATCTGCTAAAATTATTTCAGGTGTTCGTCAGAATCTGTAGGACAATCCAAGGCAGGAGATATCAGGTCACTCACAAGAACTCTGAACAATGTTTCTTGAGTGGAATTGTTTTGTAGTCCATAGTATACCCTATTTGTAAGGTTTATTCGTCTTTTAATTTATTCGCTAGTTTTGTTGGCAATAGTCACCAGCGAGTCGAGGTATGTGAAGATGTCAATAGGTTCAAAGATATGTCTTCCAAAGACTGTTTCCCATTTGCTATAGAATCCTTAGTAACTACATGTACTTGCTTTTGTCTTTGTTTATGACTAGACCGACCTGTTTCGACAACGTTTTCAATGCTAGAAAATATTGGTAAACATTGCACTGATTATGTCAATGTCATCAGCATATGCTAAGATTGGTATCGATCTATTTTAGATAGTACCGCCGTCTTTAATTCGTGTGACTCGGACTGCCTATTCCAAGACAATATTAAATAGTAGGTAATAGGACGTAATTTTTAATGTTTTTTGTCTCACATACATAATTTGTTTCAATAGGTGAATGTCCAAAAATATATAATCGTTTTGAATGGAGCGCTCGAAAAGCAATAACCAGCAAACAGTTAATGGAAAATCCTCCACCGTATGTGGTTGTCCATCAGTCGGAATTTGGCTCATGTTTTTCAGTTCAAAATTGTTCAAAACTTGTAAGAAGAATCCAAGCTTATCATATAGATCACAATGGATTGAATGATGTTAAATTTAACTTTTTGGTAAGTCAATGAAAATAATCGTTGTCCATTTTAAGACAGTATATGTTTTCACCGTCATTATTATTATCAATAATTTAGAATTATTATAAAAATCGCTATTGCATTTTTAATCTTTTCACTTAAATATTCGATTTATTTAACTATATTTCTTTCATTCTAGGTCTTGGTTTGTTCGACGATTTTATACCATTGTGATCTGTTTCTGACTTTGTTTTTCTAGTTGGTGATATTTAGAGACTGATGTCTAGTTTGTTATTTTTGTTTGTAATTTATTCTACTGTATCCCTTTAATATAGCCCATCTAGCGCAATCATTTAATCTCTATTAACGTTATGATGCCAGCTTCACTTTGTCTCTACATATAATTGTTCTTGATTTAAATTCTTTTCTACTTTTTTTTATGTAACTTTCTTGTCTTTTAGTTTATTTAGTTCTCATATTTCTCGTAGTTTTTTTTCTATGGTTTTTCTTCTTATCGTGTCCTATGTCGTTATTCTATACCTCGGTCTGGATTATATTCTTTGTATTATTTTCAACTGTTCTGTAGTTATTTTTATCTTTTTTGTAGACTCAGAGTTTCTTTAACGATTTGTTGTATAAAGTTTTTATATGTTCTTCATTATTTGGTTGTGTTCCCCTTTCACTAGACATTTTAGGATTTTTCGATGACATCTCGAAAATTCTAGACTTCTTCATTACCGGTTCATTTTCGTCAAGGTACTTTTTTATATGAAATAAACCTCATGGAACTATCGTAACACTACTCCCTCCTTTATGGTTATCTATTAGTCTCAAATAACTGGTCTATCAGGGACCGATTGAAGCCGTCACAGTGGATCAGTTCCATTGTATGGAGCTAATCTCTCGATATGAACTACCTTAGGTTTACTTCTAGCTGAAAACGGGATGCGGTAGATTAGATCATTTATTTTCTGGCGGACGGTATACGCCACCCAGTTTCGTTGAAGTTTCGGTCAAAGTCCTCTCTTACGTGTAGGATTTTATAATCATACAGTGTCAGCTGTTTTGGAAGTTGTACCTGTAGCATGCATGTCGAATATGGCCTTGGCTTTATCACTTCTTGAAGCTAAAAGCTTCAAGATTTTACGAGCAAATTCGTAGACTTTTTCCAATTTTTCTTTCAAATTTTCGATGTAAGTCAGGGATGAAAGTTCTTCGCTGGGAGACAATCTTCCAAAAATAAGATTTTGAAGAAGCTTGATTTTTCTTTCGGTGATCATCATTAATGGAGAATAACGGTTGATTTATGTTCGAAACAGGCTAACAGGAATAGAGGAATTAAAGTATCACTTTTTTTTATTATCAGTGACAAACATTACAGTCAAAGCTTTCATATCTAATCCAAAAAATGGGCACAAATTCGTAAAATATACTGTAAGTATATTATATAAGATTAATATACACGATATACTCCTTAATAAACAGTCGTTTATTTTTAATAAAAAAAATGATTTAGGAATGAATTGATTGTTATCGTTACCCTTTTTCATATTTTATTGTATTTTATTGTTGTCATATTTGAATATATTTTATTATTAGTGACAACGATCTTTTAGATTGGAGGTGATGGAACTATCTACGAAGGTAGAGGATATGGTATACATGGTGCGCATGCCATGTCATATAACACAAGAAGCTTAGGGGTTTGCCTTTTAGGAAATTTTAAAGGTAAGAAAACGTTTTGATATTAAACTTACACTATACATCACATACGATATTGCGTATTTTATAAAAGGTAGAACTTACTTGTTTGATATATATATCATAATCGAAGACCACTGATATTTACAGGTAATATAGCAAATTTACATCATATGTCATAATGTGGTTTACGTAATTGTCAAATTAGAACTGCCAGTTATCAAAATTATCCGTCAAAACGTAGTTTGAACTGGAAACATGGATTGTGGCAACAGTATTACTACATACGACCTTATAAATTCCAGAAACGTTTGAACATTTTAGGGTTGCAGTCAAAATAATCATGTCAGTGTCCAACATCTGTAACGGATGAGCACCATAAGAAAAATTATTTTCCTAAACATTTACCACAGAGGAAGACTCTATTAAAAGAAATAGCTTTAACAAAAGAAAGGAGTTATCGATTAATAAGCAATACGAACCACAAGATCAATGGTTTCCATGGGATATGATAGAGACATTTTTAGTTTTCGTGTAAATTTTAGGTATAAGTAATGTTCGAATCTAGTGAACGGCAACTGCCGTCATGAAACGACGATTTATATTTATATTAATAAATTTGATTATGCAAATAAGGTTTGGAAATGACTTAATTTAAACCCAGCTTCGTATGAATCGTTAATTACTATTAATTATAAGAAAGAACATAAATTCTAAGATAATAACCATTAAAAGAAATTATTGGACACGACTCTCTAAAGACGTAAAGCATGACTTATAAGGAGCACAAAGAAAACTTCGGGAAACCCTTAAAGACAGACAAAGTCATTATTAAATAAAAAAATCTAAACAAGATAAAAAAATTGGGTAACTAATATAAAAGACCTTTACAATGAAGACACAATTATTCAAAAGGCAGGCAAAAGACAAAAGGTCCAGGAGCTAAGAACCCTGAAGTAACGCCCAATAGAAACGAAGAGAAGCACGGAACGACTTCAAAATAAATAAGCGGAAATCATATCAGTGGTGGGCAGTATTTGTTCGGTTCTCGACCGTGTCAAATTAAACAATCATTTTAGCGTCTCTTGCTTTGTGTATAACTAAGCGTACAAAGAAACCTAAAATGAAACGCAGATTTTGGTGGAAAGAATGCAAGATTTTTGTCCAAAATAAATCTCGTCTGTTTCTGCACCTAATTTACTTGACTCCAATACTAATTTTAATTCTCTTTTATAGGATGTTCTAAAATTGTTAATTTTTTTTATTACATAGGTACTCTTCATTCGCATCTTTGTTTACTTCTTAGAACTATAAAATTAGAATGTCCATTGCCTGTTTTCGAGCGTTTCTATCGTGAGACATTTATCTGCCATAAGCATTCTTGTTTTTTATATAATTTTAAAAACTCTCTTAAAAAATTCTCACAAATGAAGCTATGTCAATTTTCTATATGATCAAAGCAGGTGTGTAGTTAAAAATGTATTTTTGCAGTATCGACAAATTGTAAACGGTCACACACGCTCAACAAATTGATGAGGTCAACTCTGCAGTACTGCAGCAGACAGGCTAATCTGTCTGCGGTCAAATTGTACGATTTCATTGGATGCACGGTCACACACCATCAAAATCCTTGTCAATTCGTCGGACTCGACGAAGTTGAATAACGCCGCTGTATCGTGAGTGGCTGGCTTTACATCCAGGAATAAATGGATAAAGGTTGACAAAGAGGGTGGGATGTATCCGAATATCATCATCAGGAAAATGCAACTAATTTGTGACGATAATGTTAGAAGACTCTAAGATCTCAGAGTTACAACTAACACATCCACAGAAATCTACAGCTATCTGAGAAAAAAAAAATACAAAAACGGTTAAATCGTTTAAGAATAAAATAAAAGGTTAACACGATGAAATAAAACCAACTGGGGTATATGGTATTGAAACAGCTCACAACAAAGAAAAAAAAAACATAAAAGATTTAAAAGGTGGAAGGCAACTATAAATACGTATTTCTGACTCATTGGTCGTTACCAGTATGATGCAGTTAAGTTATAAGACAAAAAGATTGATTTGAAAAATATTCATTACAGGAGCAACGCAACTAATTTCTGGCACCAATGACAGAAGACCTTGATGTCCCAGAGCTAAAACTAACACATCCACGGATGAAATTTATAGTTGAGATATCGTGAAGACCATGTTTCTTTTGTAAACCACATGGTTTTAACTATATTATTAATGCGATGTAAGGTGATATCCAGATAATTTATTTTGTTATTTTATTTTATTTGTATAAACTTTAGTTTTTGATGATGGCACATAATTTGGTGGCGAAGAAGTAAACAATTAAATAATTTGTTGACTGTCCTCTATTTTGTGTTCATTTTAGAGTATTGGCGACGTATAAGTACTTGGATGTAATACGAGAAACGGTCGTGCGCGAGTAGCGGAGAAATCTTGAATTTTTTTACTGCATATTTCATAGATTTCATAAATTCATATTGTCAATTGGCAAATTGTCATATTTCACATTCGTTTATTTATTTACACCTTCTGTCACTGAAGAAAATGGGATTTAGTAATTGCTTTGTTATAAATTGTAAAAATACAACAAAAAATTGTGGAAAAGTTATTTGGTGATTTACTTTCTCAAATCCAGTTTTTATTATTGCATCTATATTAACAGTAATGCTGTAATTTAATAATATATTTATTTGTATTTACACTATATACAACGTTTACCTTTTAATATTATACCGACCTAACCTCAATCTTACTTTTTTTTCTTATTATTTTTTGGGGCTACGTCCTTGACAGTTATCAGGTAACCTCGATCTAACATGAAAGCGCAGTAAATTTTGCTGATTTACGACACCAGGTGTCGCTCTTCCGAACTTGCACGGTCCCAATAATCTTTGAAACCTATAGCATTAAATTTTGCTTTTTAGTTTTGGCAACAAATGTGATGCATTTAAAATAGGCATAAAAATACGCTGAATTTAAACTTTCAATTTACAAACGATCTAAAATGTTGAAAACTCCTTTTTTTTCAATTAGACAATTTGATATGTACGTTTTCTGAAACAACATAACTTCAACTACAAATTTCACTCAATATCGCTCAATATCGTACCGCTCCCGTTGGGAAAATGTTTTTATTCGGTTTCTTCGCGGATTCCGGTTCAAAAATGTCCCCTGTAAACAAATCTGAAGGGTGCCGGGCAAAATTTTTGGGCAGAAATTGTTTAAACAATTTTTTTAAACAAAGTCCAAAAATAATTTTTTTTTAATCTGGAAGGTTTTTTAGATTTTTTGGGTCATTATAAATAAAAAAGGTCTCTTGTCATTTTTCTCTAAAGTTGATAGTTTTCGAGTTATAAGCGATTTAAAGTCTGAAAAACGCGAAAATACGCATTTTTGAGGCTTGAAAACACATATGTAAATTATTATTTTTGAGGTTACCAAGTGTCTAAATTAAAGTTTAAACATTCAACTTCAAGATTGTGAAGAGTAATCTGGGCTTATTTTAATTTAGACCGTTGTTTTTTAATTGTTAAGTATGCGCGTACACTCGATTTTTCAGTCGCCGCGGCGCCGCGCGCTACCGTGCGCCTCTATCATACTTATGCATAGTTTACATATACTTACAAATAATTATTATTTATTGAGTATATATTTATTTATATCAATTGAGTTATAATATAAATTTTGTCTAAAGTCTAATAATAGTTACATAAAATAATTGTACAAAAGATTGTTAAATAACACACTAATATCACTCAGTAAAAGTATCTTTGTTTTCACAAAAATCTAAATCACATCCACATAATGTTACACAGTTGACATGATTTTTCTTGCAGTTGCAAATTAGTTTTGCAAGTCTTTTTGCATTTGCACGGTTTCCCAACCCACCACTATCAGACATATAATATCCATATTGTGTAAAATCGAGAGTTTGATAGCGGGAATATATGACATTTCGCCAAATATATGTTTTAGCGAAAACTCTTAACAAGTGTTGGTAAAGTGCGTCAGAGGTACAAGGTATATTGGCTACATTAAATTAAATTTTTCAGTCACACTGTCTTTTCGTCGAAGAGCAGCATTTTGTATTGTTATGTAAAAATCTACTTTAGGTTTTTGCACTAACTTAATATTGTTGATGTTATTACAAAAAATACAAAATAAATTTTCTTCGGTAAGTTTTCGTTTAAGAAGAGGTACGGAAAAAGACATTTTAAATCCAGTCACAATTTTTTTAATAACACATTAATAATATAATACCCTTTTAATGGGCATTAAACTATAGTCTTCCTAATGATCGTTTAAGTAATAACAAATCAAGTATGAGCGCGCAATTGTTAAACAGGTAAAAACTTGCATTTTTGCGATAGTATATTGTTTTTAAACACCGCGCAATTTAAAATTAAGTTTACTAATATTAATATTTACTGCATTGTATTATTTAAATAATAATTTAAAAATATTATTTACAATTGATATAAAGAAATATATACTCAATAAATAATAATTATATTGTTCAAATTTGGAAGAAAAAAAAACTATATACGGTTATAACATTGCGATGATTGATTTATTTAATTAGCCCAATGACAATAATTAATACCTACATAAATAAATTATGGAAAAAACTATGTTAATAAACTTCAAAGGATTTGTTCGGTTTTTTTTGCGTAAGTGTATATGTAAACTATGCATAAGTACGATAGAAGCGCACTCTAGAGCGCCGCGCCGCGGCGGCTGAAAAATCGAGTGTACGCGCATATTTAACAATTAAAAAACAACGGTCTAAATTAAAATAAGTCCCGATTACTCTTCACAATCTTGAGGTTGAATGTTTAAACTTCAATTTAGATACTTGGTAACCTCAAAAATAATAATTTAGATATGTGTTTTCAAGCCTCAAAAATGCGTATTTTCAGACTTTAAATCGCTTATAACTCGAAAATTATCAACTTTAGAGAAAAATGACAGGAGACCTTTTTTATTTAAAATGACCCAAAAAATCTAAAAAAATGTTTTCCAGATTAAAAAAAATATTTTTGGAATTTGTTTAAAAAAAAATTGTTTAAACAATTTCTGCACAAAAATTTCGCCCGGCACCCTTCAGATTTGTTTAAAGGGGACATTTTTGAACCGGAATCCGCGAAGAAACCGAATAAAAAACATTTTCCCAACGGGAGCGGCCTCACAGCCTGGACCAGTATGTATTTCCCGTAACATTCGATCGTTTGTAATGTAAAAGTTTAAAATCTGCGTTTTTTAGGCATATTTGTTACCAACACTCAAAATCGAAATTTCATGTAATAGGTTTTAAAAACTAGTCTCTAAAAATGGAAATTCCACCACAACCGCTCAATCGAATTGATAAATTTAAATTTTCTTGATCTCGTGGGAATCGTAAAAAATGGGAAAAATTGCACAACGTTTATTTATTTAACAGATTTATAGAAAATGCTTTTATTCGCGTCAAAATACAAAAATTTTATACAAACGCTGTACTGTTTGCATTTAAAATACATTTTGATTTTTGTCGATAGGACACTCTGATCAAAAGATTACGGATTTGTACCATCGCGTGAAGGTGATAAAAATTTTATTTGGTCACTTCAACCGTTGTTTCTGAGAGAATGGTTTATTCTACAAAAAAAGTGCTAATAAACATTTTCGTTTAAAATTATCTCAGCTACATTTTTTTATTACAACATTTTTTTTACGACGGACAGATTCTTAAAAAATCGATTTTTCCCCTTGTGTGGGGGTTTTAGGGGGAAGCCTGGGGGTAGAAACTTTTTTGCATATTTTTTAGGGTACCAAAATTGACATTCTCAGCAAAATTTAGCCTGATTGTATTATTTTAGAGGTCAAATTAGTTACGATTGGACTAATATAGTTGATAGGCTAACAAAGTTACCACATAAATGTTCCGGTGTGAGATTTACTGAGCCGTGCTCAAAGATAATCATGCATATAATCTTGGGATACTCTGTTACAATGAATTTTACTCTATATACAAACTAAACAATAATTAATTGTATTTCAGATGTAAATCCTCCTGACGTGCAACTGAAAGCATTGAAAGATTTTTTGTCTTGTGCAGCAGCTGATAATAGAATTACTGCAGATTACCACCTAATCGGACATCGACAAGTTGATAAAACAGAATGTCCTGGGGAGCGACTGCAAACAGTTATCGAAAAATGGACTCATTTTGAATCCAATCCACCAGATTCTTCCCAAAATAAACTGTATTAACTTTGTTGTATTTACAACAAAGTTCCTTTTTCTTACGGAATACATACCTCCGTGTCGCAATGTTTTTAGATTGCAATAATTATTAATCAATGTAAACGTTCAAAAGGCTTTATATATTCGCACTTTATTAAAAAATAAATCATTATTTTCTTTATTTTAACTGTTTTAATTATTCTTATACTTTTTTTTAATAGCATCCTGTATCATATAAAAACACAAAAGAAGAAATGGATTCCCATAAAAAACAACGACCTGTATGAAGTTACACTAACCAGAGATACACAAGACTTAGAAAATAAAATATAATATATTGATTAAGCAGATAATGATAACAAAGGTACTAAAGAATCGAAAAAGGAGTGCTGTTCGACCTTCGTAACAAATAAGAAAAAACTAAGCCAAAATACCAAATAGCTCCTGAGTAAAAAAACAATAAAGAACCTAAATACCAGATATCCACTGATCAATTCAAAAATACATAAAAAACAATACGTAAAAATAACAAAAATAATTCAAAAAAACAAAAGTTTAAGTTGTCAGACGAAATTATGATCAACATAGGAAGACAAATTATGTATAGAATAAGAAAAATTAAAGATATTCTTCTTCTTCAGTGCCTTATCCGGTCCGGGTGTTGGCGATCATCAAGGCTATCATCATCATCATCATCAGTCGGAGATTTTTCAACCATGAGATACGACGGCGTCCCGGTCCTCTTCTGCCAAATATTTTACTCTGCATAACGAGTTGAACAATTCGATATTTTTCTTCGTTCCGCATCACGTGGCCGAGGTACTCAAGCTTATGTTGTTTAATTAAATTAAGCACTTCTTTTTATTTTGTCATGCGCTGTAGGACCTCAACGTTGATGACAAGGTCCACATAAGATATTTTTAGTATCCTTCTGTAGATCCACATCTCGAAGGCTTCGATTCGTTTTTCAGTGGCTTGCGTCAGTGTCCAGGCTTCAACTCCATATAGTAACACTGGCAGAACGTAGCACCTCACTATCCGCATCTTGGTTCCCAAACTGAGAACACTGCAGCACAGCAAGGATCTCAACTTAATAAATGTAGACCGTGCCATTTCAGTTCTGGATCTAATCTCTTGAGCGTAGTCCCATTGTGAGTTAAGGGACAGTTCCGAGGTAAGTGAATCTGTTGACTCTCTGGATCTCTTCGCCACCTGCCATTAGTGCCCCGGGATCTAAATTTGTACGGCTGACAACCATGAATTTAGTTTTCTTAATATTAAGGTTCAGTCCGTATGTTACGCTCACAGTTCGCACTCGATCTAGTAAGGCCTGCAGATCGATTAGGCTGGTTGCTAGTAACACAGTGTCATCGGCGTAGAGGCAAGTATTGCTGTATTCACCGTTCACTCGGATTCCCATCTCCAGGTTTGTGAGGTCTTCAGTAAAAATCTCCTCATAATATATATTGAAAAGAGTCGGCGATAGCACACAGCCTTGCCTTACTCCTCGCATGATCTTCACTTGGTCGGTCAGCTGGTCTTCGAGCTTGACTTGAGCACGCTGGTTCCAGTATAAATTCATGATAATTCGAATGTCCTTCTCATCCAATCCTACTCCTTGTACCGGCGGTGACCATCTTCTGGTGCTGACAACGGTCAAATGCTTTGGCGTTGTCAATAAAACAAATATAGCCATCACAACTGACATCGCGGCATCTCTGAAGTAGGACTTGTAAGGTGAAAAGTGCTTCAAGTGTACCCATGGAATTGCGAAATCCGAATTGCATTTCACCGACATTTTCTTCGCATTTCCTTAAATTCTGGCATGTATGATTTTACGAAAAATTTTAAGTGCCTGACTCATAAGACTGATAGTTCGGAAATCTTTGCACGTTTTCGCAGATCGTTTGTTTGGTAGCGTTACAAATGTTGATAATAGCCATTCCTCTGGGATATTACCTGAATCGTATATGGCGTTGAACAGTTCAGTTAACTCCTTCGTGCTCACTTCACTCATCACCTTAATAAGTTCAAAGGGTATTTCCTCCGGACCTGTACCCTTACCTTTCTTAGAGTGTTTTAAAGCAGCCTTTACCTCGCTTTCTAGAACTGACGGCCCTGTCATGAAATTTATTTCCGGAAGGTTGCCTCGGTCGTCCCAGAAAAGTTCTTCGATATATATTTTCCAGGTAACCAACTTCTCATTCACTGTCGTCGCCAGATTACCGTCTTTATTTATAAGGAGGTGTGTGTTTCTCCTCTTGTATTGACCAGTGGCTTCACGAATCTTTCGGTGGATATTTATATGATCGTATTTCTCTTGGAGCTCCTCGATTAGTTTATATTTTTCTTGCATCCATGTCTCCTTGGCTCTTCGTATTTCTTTTTTAATTGTCTGGTTGGTTTCTTGGTATTTCTTTGCGTCCCTGTTTTTCATTAATCTTTTTTGTTTCATTATCTGCAGAAGGTCATCAGTCATCCATTGTTTATTTTTTACTCTTTTTTTCTTTCCCAGATGTTCTTTTCCCGCATTTAGCATGACGTCTTTGATATAACTCCATTTTTGTTCTACACTATGTTCTTGTTGTTGAGCCGTTTCTAGTTTTTGTCTCATTGCATCCCTCACGTTCTGACGAACTACGGGGTCTTTTAGAGTGTCATAATCCAGGTTTTGTTTAGGTTTATTTTTGATGAGGTTCTTTAGTTTGAGTTCTATCTGGCCCACTAATGGGTTGTGGTCCGATGAGACGTCTGCTCCTGGGAAGATCTTCGCCGAAGTCAAGCTGTTCTTGAATCTTCTGGTAATGAGAATAAAGTCTATCTGGTTTCTGATGATATTGCTGGCTGTATCTGCAGGCGACTTCCACGTATAAAGTCGTCTCGGGGGAAGTTTAAACCACGTGTTAGTAATTAAAAGATAGATAGAATAAACAGCTCGAGAGATGATCGATTCATTTTATCGCGAAATGTATGATGTCACAATCAAAAGACAAGATCAGCTTTTGACCAAAATTACAATCCAAAGATCAGAAGAAATGCTAGATATAACACCATACTATGTGAAAACGTCAGTTTCAGAAATGAAAAGTAATAAGTCCGAGGCGATCAAACTAGGTGAAAATAAAATTATCCAGGCTTAAGCCAAACTTTTCACAGAATGCATCTACTAAGAAAAAACGCCTTCTCAATAGAACAATAGAAGGTATAGGAATAGAAGCGTTCTCAATAGAAGATATATCTATCAATGGAGAAGTTTTGAATAACTTACGTTTTGCAGACGATACAGTAATAATTACGGATAACAACAATGATTTACAGAACCTAATGCAACGCCTTAATGAACGCTGTCATGAGTACGGACTGAAGATAAATTTAAAGAAAACTAAATGCATGATCATGACTAAATCTGCACATGCAAATATCCAATTGACTATTGAAGATACTGCAATTGAGAATGTTAATAACTATAAATATTTAGGAACATGGAAAACATCAGATGTAGACCAAACCAAACAAAATAAAGACACGTATTGAAATAGCACGTACATCATTTATTAAACTTAAAAAGTTTCTTTGTTGTCGGGATATAAGGTTAGAACTACGCCTGAGAATGCTTCGATGTTACGTGTTCTCTACTCTTCTTTATGGTCTGGAAGCTTGGACACTAAAACAAGTTCATCTGAATAAGCTGACCGCCTTTGAATTTTGGTGTTACAGAAGAATCCTACGAATATCATGGATTCAAAGAATGTCAAACATGGAAGTAACTAGAAGGATAGGAAATGAGGCGGAAATAATATTAACTATTAAAAGACGAAAACTTGAGTACTTGGGACATGTGATGAGAGGGCAAAAATACGCATTAATACAACTTATTATGCAGGGCAAAATCCGAGGAAAGCGAAATGTGGGAAGACGAAGAATATCCTGGCTTAAGAACTTAAGGGAATGGTTTGAATGCAGTAGTGCAGAACTTTTTAGAGTGGCAGTCAACAGAGTCCGCATAGCCATGATGATTTCCAACCTTCGATAGAAGATGGAACTTAAAGACGAAGAATAGAACAATACAGTCATTTTTTATTACATAAAAAGAAACATACCAGTACGAAAAACCTACCGTTCTATCAGTTTGCTATCACACATATATAAACATTTCACAAAAGTTATCAAAAAATAAGACTGAACTTAGATATCTATCAGGATAGAGAACAAGCTGGATTAAGATCAGGATAAATTGTAACTACCACAAATAGTCTGGCTAATTAGCTATGCCAAAGCCATTATACGATGCGGCAACTAGATCAGGATGCGGCACTAACGACTATTTACTAGTGATAAAAAACGTAATCGAAAAGTCTGCAGAATACAATATACCATTGACACTGATATTCGTGGACTATGAGAAAGCATTCGATACCATAAGCCAGCAGAATATGTTGAAAGCATCAATAGAATATAGAATAGATCATCCCTACTCCTACGTAATCCAATACATCTACCAAAATTCCACGGCTAACGTAAGATTTTCTGAACAGGAAATAAATAAATTGTGTATACAGTGAGGATACATCGTCATTAAAGCGCATCGTATGGATGATGCACTAATAATGCTAGAATTTTTTTTTTATTTAAACATATAGTACTCACATCAACCACCAAGGGTTATTAGTAAGGGGACATACACAGTAGTACAGTTTGATAAATTAAAGTTTATTGTAAATAAAAAAAAGACGTTAAATCTTTGTAAGTGGGTATATTTAAAAACCCTTAAAACGGCTACATCAAATTAACAAACGTTTTTGGAATAATAATTCCATCACCAGGTTAAAAGCAGGTTAACATGCCTGAGCCACCAAAATATTAGGGCAAAAACCCTTTACAGTAAATAAGGTCGCCAAAGATTGTACATATTGTTAAAAATCATTGATCTTTAATATTTTATTATATTTTACTTCAGGTAACATACACTTATGCTAGTAACCCATGGTAACCGAGTTACCAGCTGAAGTCCGTTTAAAGAGGTCTACTCTCCGGACGCTGGTACTCACGTAAGGTATGGGTGTATGTTACCTGAAGTAAAATATAATAAAATATTAAACATCAATAATTTTTAACAACAATATGTACAATCTTCGGTAACCTTATTTACTTTAAAGGGTTTTAACCCTAATATTTTGGT